TGGGGGGTGGGGGCTCAGTGTTGGCCTCTGCTTTTCAGCCTCCCTCCCCCCCAGGGCTGTGTTAAGGCAGCCCCCCCCACAAGCATTGGGGCCCCATACTAATCTGTGTGTGTGTTAACCCTTCCACGCACCTTGCATCGTATAAATACAGCAACACACGGCTGCACAGCATGTTTTTAAACGTTTCAACACCAGTTTTGTTGGAAGGGCCAATAAAATAAATATATGTTTCATTTTATGGACCATTTACATTTTTTATGTCCAACGCAATGGCTCTTTCAACTTCTCACTCCCCACTTTCCTTTTTCAGGGGCAATGGGACAAACGAAGGATGTGCCGAGACCCCCCGGTAGAGAAAAGAGGTCCCTACATTATGAACAAACCATCTTCTATTCAGGATAAGCTACGTAAGTAAAAGAACACGCAGCTTTTCTCCAATACCACCAGAAATGTGCTGTTTATACAAAGTCCTCAACTTAACGACTGTAACGGAGGCCGCCCATTTAAGGTCATGTCATGGCGGTCATAACGTGGATCGCCCATGGTGACCGTTAAGTGAACCAAACTTAGAACCAAAAGGCTGTTTTTTTCTGGCAAAAGCGTGAGATGCTGCTACAAACAGCCATAGTGAAAATTGGGTTAGTTACAGAAGCCCAAAGTTTGCAGAGCCAGTTGCTGAATTTCTCTTCCTGTTTGGTTTTTTTTTTGGTGTCAAAGAAAAACATCGTGAGATGGCGAAGGCAATGCTGCGGAAGAAGGGGGTGCTTTCAGGAGCCATCCGGCAACAGCCCAAACCAGGAGGCTTGAGGTCAGCTTTTCATGTCCTTTTCTTGAATAGAATAGAATAGAATTCTTTTATTGGCCAAGTGTGACTGGACACCCAAGGAATTTGTCTTGGTGCAAATGCTCTCAGTGGACATAAAAGAAAAGACACATTCATCAAGAGTCAAGAGTCATCAGGTACAACACTGAATGATAGTCATAGGGTACAATAAGGATAGAATAGAATAGAAAATAGAATAGAAAATAGAATAGAATAGAAAATAGAATAGAAATAGAATAGGAATAGAATAGAACAGAACAGAATAAGAGTAACAGTAACAGTAAGAATGAGAATGAGAATGAATAAGAATAGAATAGAATTCTTTATTGGTCAAGTGTGATTGGACACACAAGGAATTTGTCTTGGTGCAAATGCTCTCAGTGTACATCAAAGAAAAGATACATTCGTCAAGAGTCAAGAATCAGGTACAACACTTAATGATAGTCATGGGGTACAATGAGCAATCAAATCACACTAGGAAACAGTCCATATAAATCGTAAGGATACAAGCGACAAAGTTACAGTCATACAGTCACAAGCAGGAGGGGACAGGCGATAAGGAGTGATGAGAAGGTTAATAGTGATAGTAGTGCAGACTTAGTAAATAGTTGGACAGTGTGGAGGGAATTATTTGTTTAGCAGAGTGAGGGCATTTGGGAAAAAACTCCTTGCGTCTAGTTGTTCTGGTGTGCAGGACTCTATAGCGTCGTTTTGAGGGAAGGAGTTGAAACAGTTTATGTCCGGGATGTGTGAGGGGTCTGTAAATATTTTGACAGCCATTGTGTTGAATGGCAGTGATAATTCTGCATTTTCAGGATCAGCCGGGGATGCCGGGGGGGGGGGGGGGGGATAATCGGCAACTCGCAAAGTGGAGCCTTTGAAATGAGAGCAGGGGGTGGCAGCCTTAAACACTCAAAAGAGCCACAAACGGAAGCCTCCCCCATTCAATTCTGGAGCCGACCAGACTCTATGACGGTTCCCCCACCATAGAATCTCCTCCTAGCGCGGCATCCTTTTCCCTCTACCTGTCAACCAGAAGCCCTATCAATTCTGGAACCAACCGGCAACGGAGCCACAGCAGAGGGAGGAAAGAGCCACATGCGGCTCCAGAGCCGCAGGTTGCCGACCCCTGAACTAGAGGAATGAACCACTTTTTATGTTTTTAGTTCACAGAGAATCCTACCTTTCCTTCCCAGAAATACAGGTTGTCCGTGACTTACATCTACGATTGAGCCCCAAAATTTCTGTGGTTAAGTGAGACATTTCCCTGGTGTTTATCCCTGCTTATCTGGGTGTAAACTGCTGGAGAGGATGTGTTCTGGTCTTTTTGTTTCCTTTTTTTTTCGTTTAGCTTTTTTTAGTGTCTCTTTTGAATGGTGTGTAAGTGTGGTTTATCTCTATGGATCTGTTGATGACTCATTTTTGTCTGAATGCCAAGTTTCCAGGAATTCCCTAGCATTAATAAATTTAGCTCGATCTAGGTGGACATCTGCTTCGGCCTTCTGATCAGGCCCTGCACTCTCCCCTTCCACCCCCACTGCGCCTGGTAGCTTCATGGTAGTGTCTTCTTCTTTTTACCAGGACGGTGAAATTCAACAAGGGCTACACTGCGCTCAGCCAGACCTCAGACGAAACCCTGGTGGCCCTTGATTCCGACAGGTGAGAGGCATGTAAGCATTGCTTGACTTTCTGGGTGGGTCTGAAAAAACAAGGTTGAATCCTGTCCCACAAATGAGTTGGCTCTACAGAAGTAGTCCTCAACTTAATGACCAGTCCCTTACGACCAAGCAGCAGCTATACGACAAGAGGAGGAAATAATTATTTGATTGTAGCTAGAGCAAAAAAAAAAAAACTTGGTTAGCTCTCAGCTCCAAGAATAAATACCTTGCCTAAGCAGGATGTCCCAAATTAAGGGACTGGAGGCTAAAGCACATAAAGAACAGTTGCTGGAATTGGGTATGTCTAGTTTAATGAAAAGAAGGACTAGGGGAGACATGATAGCAGTCTTCCAATATTTCAGGGGCTGCCACAAAAAAAGAGGGGGTCAAGCTATTCTCCAAAGCATCTGATGGCAAGGCAAGAAATAATGAATGGAAACTAATCAAGGAGAGTGACAACCTAGAATGAAAGATAAATTTCCTGACAGAACAATTAATCAATGGAACAACTTGCCTCCAGAAGTTGGGAATGCTCCAACACTGGAAGTTTTTAAAAATACGTTGGATAAAAATACATTTGTCTGAAGTTGGTGTAGGGTTTCCTGCCTAAGCAGGGGGTTGGGCTAGAAGACCTCCAAGGCCCCTTCCAACTCTGTTATTCTATTCTAAATCTTTATTGAAAAACGCCGATCAGTGGCAGGACGGCTTCTTACAATCTTTGTGGGAGGCCCGTTGATTTTTATAGGTGAGTTGGCGACTGAAAATGGGGCTTGCGGTATCCTTTCAACTTGTCCTTCATTTTCTTCTCCTAGCGATGACCTGGAATCAAGATGTTCTTCTGGTTACTCCTCGGCTGAGGCAAGTCTGGTATTTTATAATTGAATTTAAATAATTGAATTGAATTTAAATCAATCTATATAAAAGCGAAATATCCCTCACGCATCATCACAAAATCTCCAGAACTGTAAAGCCTACAAACTTGAAATTTGGCACGTATGTTCCTCTTGGCTTCTAGGGGCTCACTAAGAAAAGATTTTTCGAAATGACTATCAGAACATTTAGAGTATTTCCTAAATTATCGTTATCATCATTAACACGCTCCGATGCTAAGGAGTTCTACTCCCCCTCCCCACCTAAAAAGAAATATGTTCCAAATGCAAAACACAAGCAGAGGAGAGAAGTTTTAGTTTCATAGCCCCAGGCAGCTTTAGTACAGAACAGTTGAGCCTAAGCCACGCCCAGACTCCTTGCTGTCTGCTTGCTCACACAGCAAATACTGTTTCAGTTTCCAAACAGCCCTCAACTCTCTTCACACACTGATAGGACGCTAGCCAGATGAATACGGATGGATGCTGGTAGGCAGGGGCAGAATTTTTTCCTCCTTATTTTCCTCCCCAAAAACTAAGCCCGCCCACAAAGTTTCGTAGCGAAGCATGAGTATCGAGCTAGCAATTTAATTTGTTTCCTGGGTTACGAGCTTCTTTAAGAAAGGCAAGGGTTTGCTTGATCGGTCTGCTCTTTCTCCTGTTTATAATCACATATACACACACGCTTATTCTGCTGTTGCATGTTCAGGCTCTCAACCTTTGAGAAGGAAACTGGAGCTGCAGCAGGAAGGGGCCACTTACAATTCAAATGCTAATCCTCATTTGTGGAATTGGGGGCTACATTTAATCTTGTGTGTGCATCTTTTTGTGCGTGAAGTGGACCGGCCTAAAGTTCTAGAGACGCCCCCGAATGTCGTTGTTTTTATTTATATTCTGCCTTTATTATTATTGTCATAACGAACTCAAAAAGCAGAGAACACAGGCGCGACTCCTTCCTCTTTATTTCCCCCACAACAACAGTCCTGCGAGGTGGGTTGTGATGAGTGAAAAGGACTGGCCCAAAGGCACTCAGTCAACTTTCCTGCCTAAGGTGGGACTAGAAGTCACTGTCTCCTGGTGATTGGCCCAAAGTCACCCAATTGGCTTTCATGCCTAAGGCGGGACTAGAACTCACCGTCTCCTGGTGATTGGCCCAAAGGCACTCAGTCAGCTTTCCTGCCTAAGGCGGGACTAGAAGTCACTGTCTCCTGGTGATTGGCCCAAAGTCACCCAATTGGCTTTCATGCCTAAGGCGGGACTAGAACTCTCCGTCTCCTGGTGATTGGCCCAAAGTCACCCAGCTGGCTTTCATGCCTAAGGCGGCACTAGAACTCACCGTCTCCTGGTGATTGGCCCAAAGTCACCCAGCTGGCTTTCATGCGTAAGGTGGGACTAGAAGTTGTACCGTGTTTCTCATATAATAAGGCCGGGTCTTAAATTTTTTTTTTTGAGCCCCGAAAAAATGGCTAGGCCGTCTTTTCGGGGGCGACTTAATTCCCCCCCCCCTTGCATCTTCGGGCGGGCGGCGACGGCTTGGATGTTGACCTCGGCGTTGGTGGGGCACTTCGTATCGGGGTCAACGCAGGCAGCACCATATCCGGGTGTGCAACAAAAGTACTTCCTAACGGCAAGCCCCCCCCCGCCATTTCCACCCCCCCCCATTTCGCATGTTTTAATATAGGCCTTAATTTGGGGGGGGAAGGGCTTAATTTCATTTCATGCCTATAAAACATGCTGGGACTTCCTCTTGGGGGAGGCCGTATGGTTGGAGAAACAGGGTAGTTTCCTGGTGATTGGCCCAAAGCCAGCTCTCCTGTCTTAAGGCAAGACTACAACTCACCGTCTCTTTTCGGTGATTAGCCGAAAGTCACCCCTACCAACTCTGACGCCTAAGGTGGGATTAGAACTCAGAGTCTCCTCTGGTTTCCAGGCCAGCACCTTAACCACTAGACCTAATTCTGCCAGGTAAGTTTGCCATGGAACCTTGTTATTCCATATTTTATTTTTTCCCCCTCCTTCAGGTCAACCAGGATCTCAGTCGGCAACTGCTGCAGGACGGCTACCGCCTGGATGAGATCCCCGACGACGAGGATCTCGACCTGATCCCCCCGAAGCCCATTTCTTCCTCACCGTGTTCCTGTTGCTTCGGCGACGCTGCCTCCTGCTCCATCCAGTAGGAAGAAGCCCCGGAGGGCTGCAACTAACACGGGTCAAGAATTCAGCACTTTTTCTTTCCCGGTTCCTCTCTTTTTCTCTTGGATCCCTGCTGAGCCCAGCCTTGAACTTTAGGTCAGATCAGCAGGATTGGGGTGGGGTGGGGTGGGCAGCCCTGGAGATTCGGTCCCTGGAAGGGCGAGGCCGTGCCCTGCTGGCACCTTCCTCGCTGCTCCAAGCGTCTTCTGGATGGTGCAACATAGATGCGTGTTAACCGCTAAGTGTTCGGGAGCCTGGTGGATGCCCTGTGCAAAGAGAGGCTGTTTTTTTTTCTGGATGGGTTCGGCACTCCTGAGGACTAATCAGGAGGCAAGGGTTTCTTCCCTATAAAAGGTGAACAGAAAACCTGTGTGCGTGTAAATAAGTGAACAACAGCAATTCCGATAACTAGGTTTACAATATATTGGGGTTGCAGAGGTCAATATACGAAGGGAAAAACAACAACTATGCCGCATAGAGACAGAGGAAAGAGGTTGCTTTTCCTGGCGAGAGGGAAGTTCTTGAGATGTTTCTGCAGGGCCTCCTTAGAATGGAGGTCTTGTCTTGCATGGGCCTTTTTTTTGGGTCTCCAGCCAGCTTGTTGGTGGCTTTAGTTACTAGGAAGTAAAAGGGAAGGAGGTTGAAGATGCCTGAGTTATAACATTCAGCCTTTCATGGATCTCCTGAAAGAATCTCAAGGCAACCTAACCTCCATCCTTCTGTTTGAAGGTTGACCCTCTCAGATCCATGGGCAGTTGGGCAATAAAACTGCAAATCTTCTGGGAAACTGCTGGCCTTAATGTGGGAGCAACGGCTGGCAATTGTTGAGCAATTGATTTATTGGGTAGATGGGATTTTTTGGGGGGGTTGCTTTGGACCCCTTTCCTTTCTGGGGAAGTTTAAAGGAATAAGAGGGGAGGCTAAGTGAGGAGGACAAGGTTGAATCAGCTCATCAGCTGTGGAGGTCGCATATAGCTCTCATGTTATCAACCTCTCCATTACTTTTAACGTTCTCTAAACCTGGTGGCCCTCAAATGGACAAAGGTGCTGTTTAAAAACAGCCTCTGAAGACCACCAAGGGACCATTGTCTATGTTAAATTAACCCATGGAAAAGTACACCTGCATGCTCTCAATCCATTTCACCTCGACCTCCTTGTAGGAAAGGACGAGTTTTAGGCAGCTTGCACAGACTCTGTAGGTGTGTTGACTTGCGCGCCAAGCCGTTCTGGGGAAGAAGTCAAGATCTAGTCTTCCTAGATCACCAGCACTGACTGACCCAGAACAGAAACGGTCTGTCCTTGACCGCTTTAATTTAAATCCATTGTTCTCAAGAAACATGTCTCAATTAACGTCTTAGAGATGTTGATGGGACAGCCTTGAACGTCCACCATCTCTAGGGACAAGGTGTGGTGGGATTTCTGGATGTTGGATAGGATGTTTTGGAACTTGGATGGGACACGTTGTACTCTCTGAGGGTGTAGTGGAGTTCAACAACATTGAAATTGTCCATCTTTGCTTCGTTGGTTGTGGGGACTCAATGTCATCTCCCAAGTTTGATCGTAGAAGATCTGGAGAATTCCTCAAAGTGCATCCCTGCAATTTGAGAAGGATGTCCCAGTGTTGATATCCTATACATCTCACTCCTGGTCTCAACCTCCCCTCCCCCAAAAAAATAATTAAGTCCATTTCTTCCTCACACGCACAACTTGCTGTTGAGGCTGATGTCGTGACTCTCTCAAAACGGAATGGGATTAACTTGCCGTGGCCAACTCAGCAACTCCACTTAATTATTTGAAATAATTTAAATAATCATTTTAATTTCTGTCATTCACATTTCATTTGGTCCTTCCTTTTGCATCCTTTCTTTAATGATCCTGTCCACCTTTTTTTTTTTTTATGTATTAGTGTAACTTGTCACACGACATGTTGGCTGCGGTGAGTTATCGTAGTCCCTTCTCAAAGCCAATGTCTTTGGTTGACATGTTCCAGGGTGAAACAGAGATTCCACTGGAAGTTTCCTGATTACAAAGCTAAAGATGTCCAGTAGATGGCAGGCAGAACACAGTATTACCGCTGCCGCCTTCTAGTTATCTGGATATTTTTTTTTTCAATCCCAAATCTGATTTCTCCAGCCATTTTTTAACCAAACTTATCCAACATCAGTTACTAGCAGGCACGCTGATTTGGAGGGGTTTTTTTTTGCCCTGCTGGGACACCTCACCAGCAAGTTAATTTTTTTAAAAAGTGACCTTGTATGTACAGATCTTTGAAGAATTGGCTTGCTAGAGCTATAAAATCACCATTTCCTACCCCTTTCCCTCCATCTGTGCCGGATTACAATTGCTTGAAGTTCAGACTTGGAAGTCTTAATCATTGAAGGGAAGGCACATAGTAGGTTGGAGGAAGTTGTACTGATAGTGGTGAATATTATAGTATAGTGGCGAAAGTTGTACTAAGCTAAACCAATCTTGTTGGTTTCGCTATTATTATTATTATTGTAAAGCTGCTGTTCCTTTCCATTTATTAGGGAAAAAAAGGGCTGCTTTTGTTGGCACAATCCTGGACAATGTTTTTGTCCAGGACAGAAACTACAATGTTCACAACGGAGTCCATGTTACTTATGCACTGCTCGTTCAATGAGCCTTAATGACATGTATTTAAGGCTTAGAGGGGACCTTAAAGATCACCTTGTCCAGAGTTCTCCAAATTTGGAAACTCTTTAAGTCTTGTGAAGACTTCCAAGGAGTTGAAGTCCAGAAGTCTTAAAAGTAAAATATATGTAATTTTGCAAAGGAAGAATTAAGATGCTAGTAGGCGTTATACAAACACATTTTTGCTCAGCTCTCTTCTGCAAAGCTGAGCGAATGGATGATTCTACAAGCATTTGGGGGACAGGCCCCATTAAATCTACCCCGTAGACTTTATTTTTTAAAGCTGCCTTAAAGCACTAAAATGCATTACATGAAGTTTCTTTTTGTTAAAAAAAAAAAACTGAACAGCACAAGACAATCTTATGGGAAATTTAATATTATTGTATACTTGGTTCATTGTGTGTCTTTTTTTTTTTGTACAGTCTAACCAAGGAAAGCGTCTTATCCAATAAAGTACCTTCTACGCTACACCCTTTGTCCCTTTGTTTATCTGAAACTGATGTTCTCATCTTGGTAAAAATGCCAACTAGACCCTTTAGGTCAAATGTATTCAACCATAAACCGGGTTTGTATAGCATGCTATTTAAAAAAACAACCCAGGAATATAGCTTATCACACCTGGGTAAACAAAGTATTATTTATTTTTATTTATTTGATTTTTATTCTTCCTATATTGTTTTTATTCCTTCCTTCCTTCCTATTTTCCCCACAACAACCCTGTGAGGTGGGTTGGGCTAAGAGTGAGTGGTTCAAAGTCACCCAGCTGGCTTTCATGCCTATGGCAGGACTAGAACTCACAGCCGCCTGGTGCCTCTAGGCCTCTAACCTCTAGGCCAAACATCATGGGTTAATGTGACGGCTGGATTGGCACAATATGCAAGACTAGGCTCAAGATGTACAGTGCGTTAATCAAAAGATCTAGTTAGGATGCTTGTCAGGGTCCAGTGTGTGTGTGTGTGTGTGAGAGAGAGAGAGAGAGAGAAAGAAAGAAAAAGAAAGAGATAATACAGGGTCAACATCTTGTCCAGTGAAAACATTTCAGGTAATCCCAAAAGATGTTTCTTTTTTTCCCCCCCAAGAGGCAACTGGACCTTCTGGTTTTTCTTTGAAGATGTTTCACTTCTCATCCAAGAAGCTTCTTCAGTTCTAACTGGATGGTGGGGAAGGGAAGGATTTATATTCCTTGCAGACAGCTGGTCATTTGCATCCTTTTAGAGATAAGTTGAGGCCACTTGGAGGCTTGCCTGTGTCACCCTGAGGAAATCCTTCCATTCCTCACCATCCGGTCAGAGCTTGAAAAGCTGCTTGGATGAGAAGCGAAAATCTTCAAAAAAACAAAACAAAACACACCAAACCCCAGAAAGTCCAGTTGCCTCTTGAAAAAAGCTCCTTTGGGGACATCCTAGAGGATGGAGAATCTCCATAGACACTTCAAGTAGTCCTCGACTTACAATTGGGACCCGAATTAGTGCAGTCATTAGACAAGCCATCCCATGACTGGACCAATTTGTGCAACCCAAATTACACCACCATCGATTACTGTGTGCCCCTCTTCTACCCCCCTCATTAATTTGCCAACCTCAAAATTTGGGAGGTTTCTGGGAGTTGAGGTCCACCTGTCTACAATTTGCCAAGGTTGAAAAACATTGTTTTAATCTTAAGATCCACGGACTACCACCCTAGTCAAACAAGCATGACACAGGAGAAGCATCTATTGAGAGACAGACATGTTCTTTGTCAAGTCAGAAAACAAAAGCATGGCCCACAGCCTCCTTTGTTCTCCCACTTAGGGGGCAGCGGGGCTACCAAAGCATTTCCAACCCTACATTTTTTGGAGCAATGGGCCAAAGGAGTGTTGGCCAAAAGCCAACCAAGGAGAGAAGACCGTTGATATTCCTAAGTCGCCTCAGCCTCAATCCTTGAAAGGCGAAACAAATGGGAGAGATGTGGACCAAGGACAGCTTCTGATCTTGAATTACTCTAAAGAGGAAAATCGCTCGGTGTCCCTTATTACAAGAGGCAGAAAGCCCGGAAAAGAACCATCCCCTCAACGGAATTGAAATGCAAAGAGAGGCTCTCGTTGGCAGAGATGAACAACACGGTTCCGGGACGTAGAATCATTTCAGATCCAGCTGCCGTGGAAGTGCCGACGGCCGAACCCTGGACCGTCAGCAAGATGCTTGCCGAGTCGATGGCCGAAATGAGGTACAGATTAAGGGAGGAAGGGATCTGTAAAGAAAAAAAGCAGAGGGGTTGCTCGACACGGGAAGTAAGAGAAAAGAACAGTCTTCCTGAGTTTGGTGGAACAGGAAGCAGCTGAAGCTGGAACAGGAAGAAACAAACAAACAGGAAACAGCTGAAGCTGGAACAGGAAGAAACAAACTGAAACA